GCATCCTCCTTACATGAGAGTGGAAGGATTTGCTTTGCAGTTTTGTCACAATGTGAATTCCAAACAGGGCATCGAGAGGGAGAGCGCTCCGAAGCACAACCCCCAGGTCACAACCACAGCAAAAGTGGCCTCCCTGGAGTCCCCACATGCGAGGGTTGGGATTTCCTGATCGTCCACGTCACATCAGATCCAGGTTCCCATTGTAAGGCAGGAAATCCTGACTGCCAGCGTTTAAGAGGGTCGAGCGATTATGGTTTACATTAGTCTCCATATTGCTCCGGTATCATTTCCGCAGAACGTTCATAGGTCATGTAGCCCAGCAAATTCCTGATGCCTTTGCAAAGCAAGACCTTGTCTCCTCGCCCATGCAGGTTCTCATTCAGGTCACTGTGGTTCCCAGAGGCGCTTTTTTCCAAAAGGCATCATGTCTTCCTTTTGTTTTCTTGAAAGCCCTTTGCTTCTCATCCAAGAAGCTTCTCCAATACTTCAGAAACTTTTTCAAGAAAGAAAAAAAAACCCTAAAAAAGTCCAATTGCCTTTGGAAAAGCACCTTTGGGGCCTTGTCTTCTCCCAAACAAGTCACTTCCCACTATCCTGCAGGTTCGCAGGCCAGGTGATGGTCCTCACCCCCACTTGGTTGGTTAGGGAGGCCTTCTCCCTTCTGCTCCTTGGCTGCGTTGCTGCAATGGGGAGACGGACCCTCCTATCCTCTCTTCCTCTGGCTTCTGCTATGGAAAATCCCAGGTAGCCTCCTTGCAAGGTTGGCCACCTCCTCCATGAAGAGAGCCGAAGGCACAGCTGGCCTGCTTTGCATGGGGAGCACCAGTGGTCCTTCCAGGGGGGAGGTGTTTGCAAGGTCGCCTGCCTCCCAGTTGATAGTTTCATATGCAAATGGATGGAGATGCATGGAATGGAAGAGAGATTATGGAATTAATTTTCAGGCAGCTGGCCAGCGCTCTGGAGGGAGGGGAACGCAATCAACTAATTTTTCCTGACTGCCCTGACAGTTCCTGTAATGGAATATTAACAGCTTTGCATCTAATTACTTCCAAAACCCATCTCACTCCCTCGTACCTTCGCACCTGAGCTCTTTCCTCCTTTCTCTGCTACTCCCAATTCATTATTTTCTTCCTTAGCATAATTTTAAGTACCAAAACAAAAATTAAAAAAAAGCAGGGCTGGAAATTTCGAGCCTTAAATCTTTCCTATGTTTTCTCCTCCTGGGACAGACCTAGGACTCTCTGATTTGCCCATTTAAAAGCTCCACATCTCTGCTGGGTATCTCTTTGCTATGACCAGTTCAGAGGCACCAGAAGCATTTTGGCTGCTGGTCAACAGCTGAGGATCCTGTTCTTAATTTGGGTGCCTTGAGACTTCTCCCAGCCATCCCTCACTGTCAGCATCCTGCCAGCTTAATTTATTGCTATAGAAAGCTCCCAAAAGGATGACTAACTTTTATGGGTTAGCCTGATGCAAACAGTTAGCAAATGAGGTGCCTATCCTTTTATCTCCGTCCTGGGGAAAACCTTGAAATGTGTCACTTCTGGATACTCCCAGGCTTTAAAACTCAATTAACGGCATTGCTTTTCCCATCAAATAATGTCACTTTTCAGCTTTGACAGGGCCCAAGGTGGAAGCTTGGCTGGCAGACCAGATACAACCTAAAGGAGAGGAACAGATGGGAGAAGAAAAAAAAGCATAAAAGCAAACTTTGTCTAAAAGCAAGCTAGCCAATTAGGAGGGGAAGCAGATCTCCCAGCCAGAGAGCTGTTGAAGCTCAAATCAGACCAGCAATGCAGGGCTGGCATTCCTTCCCATCTCCATCTCCTGAAGCTCTCCAGAGTGACGGGTGTGCTCTAGAGTGCTTCCCCTACTACGTTACATCTGCCTGTACAATTCTGCAGGTTTGGGTAAAACAGAACCCACAAATCTGAAAACATCTGCGGAAGCCAAAGGTTTAAAATAGAAGGGGGGTGCTGGAGGTCAGGACAATTTGAGCAAGTACACAAATCCCTTTGACGTCGTCGAAGAGAGCCCGGGAGAAGTCAGAGAGAAAACCAGGACAGCCTGCCTGGAAATAGTTTGCCCTGGAAGGTTGTTCTCCGTGGGGCCTCGAAAATGATTGTAGGCTGGCTCAGCCATCAGTTAATGGCCAGGGTTGTTAGGAAACAAATCACGGTTTTCATATTTTTTTTTGAAGGCTGGAATAATTTCTATTGCATTAGAATAACAGGGCTAAAAGGAACTTTGGAGGCCTTGTAGCCAACCCCCGTCCAAGACAGGAGTCCTTATAGTAACCCAGACAAATGGCTGTCCAGTCTCTTCTTGAAAACCTCCAGCGATGCAGCACCCACAATTTCTGGAGATTAATTGTTCTTACTATCAAGAAATTTCTCATTCTAGGTAGGATTTCCATTTGATGAGGAAGGTTGCTTTCTCCCCTCGCCAACGAAGGCACGGGATTTCGTTTGACAAGGACGCAGGCTTTCGTAGCTTAGCATATTCAGGTTCCCACCGTGTCATACAGGGTGACAGGTCTTCTCAGTATTTCAGCCGCTGTCATGAGGAAGGGACACTGAAACACTTTCTGATGCTCAAATGGCAGGCCAACGTCTAATGTCTTTAGGGCTAGAGAACCAAGTCTAGGATGTTCAACCAATGACCTACGATGCCCTTTCTATTCTTACTCCAGGTTTCCTCCACCTGCCAGACAAGTACCAAGACTCTCTCTCTGCCTGCATGCGTCTTTGTTCGCAGATGGAGCCACAGCACGGTTCCAGTAGTTTTCCAGAAAAGAGGAGATTCTTTTCCAAAACAGGAAAAAAGAGGTGAGAATGGCTGGATTCACACATAAACAGGTCACGGATGCCTGAATCAACCCCCCCCCCAATCATCTGGGTCCATCCTTCAATTTAACCCCCGTTTAAAAATCTGGGCTTGCATTAGGGTCCCAAAATTTGTTGCCGAAGTCGTATCCCAGCCAAAGCGAGCAGGGTGCCTCCAAGGATGAGTCTGACCTCCTTTTCCGCCAAGGTCCCACTCTGCATTCATGCCACCGTCTCCGCTCCTCCTAAGCGGTGTGCTTTGTTTGTCTCGCTGTCTCCCATCCTAATTCTTGCTCCATTTCGAGAGAAAATTCACCCCCCCCCAAGCCTTCCCACAGCCACTGTTTACAAGCTTTCCCACTGACGAGCCAAAATTGCTGGGGAAGAGAGGCAAATGGACCAAGGAAAACAGTGGGATGTCTAAGGCGTTTTTTGTCTTTAGCGGAGCCAGTTCCTCCTGGCTAAAATGTGGAGGAGTAAACAAGGGAAAAGGGGGACTTTAGGGGGGAGAATTCAAGCCCAGAGATGGATGCCGGGCCTTGGGAATGCATCCCTGCTCGTTCCCCACCCCCAGCCCTGCTGCTTTTTAAACACCTTTCTCCTCGCTGAGAAAGGCACCGAAATCAGCCTGCCTGTTGTGGGTGCCCCATCTCTGGAAGTTTTCAAGAAACTGAATAGCCATTTGTCCAAATGGTACTATAGGGGCTCCTATTTGAACTGGGGGTTGGACTAGATGACCTCGAAGGTCACCCTTTATCATGAGATAAAAATCCTACTCCAAATTCAAGGAAAGCTCTTCAAATTTTCCTGCTCTGCTTGGGGGGGGGGGGAGGAAGAGACATTGTCTTTTAAGGTTGCAACCTCCCATCCCATAATTGTTTAAAATCAGAAGGTGTTTTGCATTACAGACACCGTTTAATAGCTGATGATCATATCATTTACATCAGTGTTATAACTTATTCTGTTACTCATTTTGCTTTAGGTTGGTCAGGCTGGGATCAAGCCATCCTTAGCCTTGAGAAAGCAAGAGGATGGTCTGTTTCCATGATCTTTTTCCGTCTGAAAAGCTTGCTTGATGGACAGGCCGCCTTTCTGCCCCTCCGTCTTCTTGCATTCTGGATGTAGTTCTCCGTGGGGCACCGATTCCAAAAAATGGAGGTTCCAGAACTCAGATTTGCAATCCAGGACAAACCAGAACCACCCCAGCAAGCAGATTAAAAAGGTGCATATGGATATTCATGAACTGAGCTCTTCAGGTTGACCCCATTGAGGCTAAACTGTAATTCTAAACTAAAATCAATATGTGTTATGCTGGTGGAAACCTCGCTAATTCAGTTACCCCCCCCCATAAATGCAGATCAATCATCCCAGCTTAACTTTGCCTGGATTCAGACGTTACGAAAAACAAGGGTACGTTTTGAGCTTGTTTTAAAAACCGATCCAAAGCATCCTGCGCTTTGCTTGCAACGCGGCCCCGCATCGTGGCTCGCAAACCAGCCAAAGCGATTCTCAGCCTCCGGCTAAGCCCCGGCGCGACGCGCCTGTCCCCAGTTCACACGCGTGTCCGATCCCGGCCGGTCCACGTGTCAGGCGCCGCTCCTGTCCTTCCCCGAGCGCAAGCCCCGCCCACCCCGTCCGTTAACGCTCCACACTCCGCCGCCCACGCCTTTCAAAACTCCTTCGGTTTCGGCGCCCGCTCGCTCGCCCAGGCTCTCTGCCCGCCACCCCCGCCGGGCGATTAGCCTAAAGTGGCAATCCGCAAAATCAACGCCGGCCCGGTCGGTCGGTTTGATTTTCTTTTGTCCTGTTCTTCCCCCCCCCCTCTCTCTCTTCCCCCCTCCTTCCCTCCTCCCCTTCGCTGGCTGGCGCGCGCGGCTGCTTCCGCGGCGATTGGCGCAAACCCCCGGCGGGGCGTGTCCGCATCCGGGTGCCGCGCGTGACGCGAGGGGCGGGTCGGGCGCCGGGCGGCCAATCGGCGTCGTCCACATGCCGCGGCCGCGAGAGGGGCAGCGGCGAGTCGGCTCGGATAAATTCTATTAGAGCAGCCGCTGCCGGCTCAGCCATCACCGGGCAGGGCAGCGACGCCAGCGCGGGAGGCAGGCCGGCGGCTTCGGCAGCGGCGGGCAAGACTGAGGCGGCTCCCCCCCCCCAGGGCGGCCTTCGCCCCCTCCCCCACCGGCGCCCCCCGTGCCCCCCCGTGAGGCGGCGCCCCCTCCGTGACGAGGGCCTTCCCTCGCGCCCCCGTGAGGAGAAGGCGAGACCCCCCGAGAGAGCCCCGGGGCCGAAGGAGAGGGGGGCAGCCGGCGAGGCCTCCCTGAGGCGCCCCCCATTTTTTTTAACCTTCCTCCCCCCCCGTTTTTCTTCGCCGCCGCCGCCGCTGCTGCTGCAAAGGAGGAAGAGGAAGGGGGGCCTCCTCCGCTGCCTCCCCCCGCCATGGAGAACGGGCACACCAAGACGGTGGAGGAAGTGCTGGGCTACTTCGGGGTCAACGAAAGCACCGGGCTCAGCCTGGAGCAGGTCAAGAAGCAGAAGGAGCGATGGGGAGCCAACGGTAGGTGGGCAACACCCCCCCTCCACTTCGGGGGGCAGCGGGATCTTCTCCCTCCCCCCATCCTCACCTTCCTCTTCCTCCTCTTGGCGATCGCCCCCCTCCCCACCCATCTCTCCTGACCCCGGGCAAGATGATCACCCCCCACCCCATATTCCCTATCGCATTCACCCCTGATTCCATATCTCCCCCCCTCCTCCCCACATCAATCCCCCCCTCCCCATATCCATCTATCCCGACCCCTCCGCCCGGGAGGATGGAGCCCACCGCCCCATATCAATCCCCCCTCCCCCTATCTATCCCTCTATCCCAACCCCTCTGCCTGCCCCCCCCCCAATCTGGCATTTGACAGGAAAAGAGGGAGAAAGAGAAGAAGATGGCTGACACGGCCATCGACCTCGTGGGTTCCCTTCGCTGCTGCCCCGGACTGTGCAACGTGGAAACCAGCCGGGCACCTTCCTGGGAAGGAGAGAGAGAAAAAGCCTCCCAGTCTGCTGGATCTTGGGGGGGGGGAATCTCCTCTGCACTCCCTCTCCCCCTTTCCCCCCCCATTCCTTTTTGGCTTGGTTTGATCTTTGTTTCTCGCCTTTCCTGCCTGGCTCTGTGGCTTGGGCTTTTTCTGCTTGTCAAAAGCCAGCTCTGGGGTTTGCGAGATGGACAAGGGAGACAGCCCTACCCTGATGGGCATGGGGGAAAAAAACTCCTCCGCCCTGTCTCCTTCCTCTTTCAGAGGAAAAAAGGTTGGGGATAAATGGGGAATGTTGGGAAGTGTGGAGCCGCATTAAGCTACAGGGAAGAGCAGGGATGACTTGGCTCGATTGGTAACCCTTCACAGAGAGAGAGAGAGTGTGCTGGATGCCCCCGCCCGCCTCTCTCTGTCTCATTGAAGGAAGCCTGCTTAACTATTGCATTGCTCATCTGCTTAGAACATCTCTTCCACTGGAGTGTTTAAAAGCCAAAAAAAGCTCTTCGGTCTAGCCCAGACACCTTTATAATTCTAATGATTGTTGTTTTATTTTTCCTCCCCGCTTGACGTGGTTCCTGCAATTCTGGCATTTTAAAGAATTACCAGCTGAAGAAGGTAAGCCGGCATTTGAAGCTTTTTGTCTGTGATGCATGCTTGATTTCCCCCCTCCCCCAACCGCCTGTGTCTGTGCCTGACGACTGAAGTCTGAATCTTTTTCTTGGCAGGAAAAACTTTACTTGAGCTGGTGATCGAACAGTTTGAAGATTTATTAGTTAGAATTTTGTTGCTGGCAGCATGTATATCTTTTGTAAGTATCTTCCTTGTTTTGAACGGATGACTTTGTCTTAATTGACACACAGGGTTCCTGGATTGCTAGTGAGAGTTTGAAAATGGTTTTTGGGAGAAGTTATTCTGTCTTGGCATTGGCTTGAAATAAGTGCTTTGCCTTTGCAACAGAGTTTAAGCAGCTTGCACCCCAACTCTTGAGCAGTTTCTTGTTACAAATACAATGTCAAGGGAATGGTTGAATGAGAACACACAGCAGTTTAAGTCAGACATACTTGAATATTGTGAATAGTCATGACTGTCTCTGTACCTGAGGTAGGTTCTTGCCTTTTAACCTTGGCCCCAGCCAGAAGGTGAACTGGTATAGGGTGGCTGATTTTTTAGCGGTGGTTGATTGTTATGAAACTCACCGAGACGGCTGGAAGTCTTTTTTTGGATGCAATGCAAACTGTAAATAGAATTTGTATGGGGGGAATATGCCAGTTGCCTTCTCTTGCTGATAATAGCAAGGTGACAGTTGTTGCTCTTGACAGTGACAAGAATGATGACAGCAATGATGGCACCATTGTTGACCAAATTTGGTCACTGACCTTTGGGAAGCCTCTGGTAAAGTAAACTCTTTGCTCCCTGGACAGAATGGGGCAGGATGAGGGCTGTGAAATCGAGTCGGAATTTTAAAATAATGTGTAAAAGGATAGGGTCACGTTGCCAGGTGCCAAGCATCTGTTTGGAGAAGGGTGGGAGATGGGGAGAAAAATGCATTGTAAGTGGGGTACAACAGGGTGAGCTTTGTACAATATTGGGTCTCAATTCCTAGGTTGTCCTTCAAGGTTTCGTTTAGACCAGCAGCGTCCAACCTTGGCAATTTTAAGACCTGTGGACTGCAACTCCCAGAATTCCCCAGCCAGCCAACTGGGGAATTCTAGGAGTTGCAGTCCACGGATCTTAAAGTTGCTAAAGTTGGACACCTCTGTTTTAGACATAGATTGTTGCAGTTTTAAATTCTCAGGATACTCCTCTGGAGTAGATATTCTGGGCACCTGAGAACTTTGGTGAAAAGAGAAGCTTCAGGTATCCAGGTTGGCATGCAGAAATTGTACATGAAACTCCTGTCCCTGCTTTTAATTCAGCGATTATTGATACATAGGGTAGTTTTCTGTGTCTCTGTCTTCAAAGTGATGTTAAAAATGAAAATAAACGTTGCACCCTTGATTTAACTGGAGTGCAGAACCAGGAATATGATTTAAAAATATACAAGTGAAAGAAGGATCGCCCCCTTGAACCATCAGAATGTATAGTTGCTGATTCTGAACCAGTGAGAGTTTCCAGTTTCATGCCATTGACTCACCCGGCTGGGAGAATAGATTTTTTGGCAGAGATTTTCTTCTCTGCAGCAACAAGTCTTTAGTCATTCTGTTTCAGCTTTTTCCTGGTGACTTTTGGCGGATGAATGTTTTATTGACAGGTAGTGGTTGGTGCATGATGAGATCCACTTATTTTGAAGGTTGCCCATTGGTGTGCTAGACTGCTAGGATGCCCATTCACTTTCTTTCATTTAAAACAATGATATATAAACAGCTGAGCCCTAGATTTGTTCCATAAGACTCAGTTAAGGAGAGAAATAGATGTAGAGTGCTGGTTTTGCAGTTAAATAACCTATTGATTATGTTAGACGTTCTGCAGGAAAATTGTTGGTGTACCAAAAGGTTCAATGTTGCCTCCTCACACTAAAATTCTATACACAACCATGAGATTGGGCAATTTATATATACAAAAAATGTCAAGCTTGAAGATGTTTTGAAATTCCCAGCCCAGAATGCTGCTCTTGTTACCATGACATAAATTAGCCTTCGCCTGGAGAACAATTTCTAAAACATTTTCTGTAGCGTAGTGAGTATTTCTTTGTGGCATGTTGTGCTATTTTAGTTGAATTGCACAGCGGTAAATAACTTTCCATTCTTTGCAGTCCTTGCATTCCTTTACTTTTAATAGTTATCATTACAATGTTGGGTTAAATTTGTTGACCCAATTTGTATTTAGTTGTTCCATGTTTATCCAATGTAAGTTGTACAGTGCTTCCAAACTTAATATCCTTCTGCTGCCTTTATTTTGATGACAACACAAACTTTGATTCTAAGCAGGCATGCTGGTACCCACAGCCCAATGTCCCTACTTTGATGTGCCTTCGGTTTTACTGACCAAGGTGCCTTAATGGAAATTTCTGACTTGCTGTTGTAACACAGGTTTTTTTTCTTGATTTTATGGCATTTTTAGAAGAGCAATAGGCCAGGGATTCCTATACAGGAACATTGCTAAATTAAACCATGGTTGGAGACTCCTTGATTTGAGAATACTTTTTCCTGGCAAAATGGGACAACTAGAAACCTTAAGCATAATGAGTCAAAATTCCGAAATGATGTCTGAAGTGTCCTATTTAGTGCTGAAAGAATTGTGAGAACAACGTATTAAAATGCCCTAATTGTTGCCTTCTTGACGATTTCTAATGAGATGTTAGAACAGAGTGTCATTAATTTAGAAAAAGCACAACAATCACATGCCTCCTTGGACTCGAAAAATGATCCCTTTCTAAGGCTATTCTGCATCAGAAAATTGTGGTTGTCTGTATATGGTTATAAGACTCTGTCTTCTATCCTTCTGAGGTCGGTAAAATGAGGACCCAGATTGTTGGGAGCAACATGCTGACTCTGTAAACCCACCTAGAAAGGACTGTAAAGCACTATGAAGGAGTGTATAAGGTTAAGTATTATTGCTATAGGCCTGTAGGAGATGTTCAGATGACTTCCAGTGTTGGGAAGACCTTCCCTTCCTTTAGACTTTGCAGTTCTGGTCTCGTTTTGTGGGTGCAGAGAGAAGGACGAATCATTGCTGGAACAAAAATTGGCTCGCTGTGCTTCGAAGTGTGGCAGTTAAATCGGTAAGGCCAGAACAGCCCCTAGTCCCTACAGTTGTTCTTCTGAGGCTGAGGAATAACAGATGCAACACAGATAAGGTTCATTTATTGGAATATGAGAGATCATTTTACTCGTCTAACAGAAATAGTTGACTAAGTGTTAACTTCACGAGAAGCATCTAGACACGTTGTTCTACCTTTGGCATTCTCTCTTTTCTCTGGACTGATATTCAACCACCCCCATGTAGCAAATCATACTTGTGACTCCAGCAAACAATCATGTTAGTAGCAGGACAACAGGCTGGCAAGAGTAAATTCAGTGAAACTTGTTCCCAGATAGGTGTGCAGGGGAATTTTAATCATAAAACATTCAGCTAGATGGTTATACAATGTATATACCAAGTACTGAAGCCAAGTTCAGATAACCTTTACTATTTTTCTATTGAAAGTGAATTTAACGAAGGTAGACTTCAATTCCCAGAATTCCCCAGCCAACATGGCTGGCTGGGGAATCCTGAGAATTGAAGTCCATGCATCTTAAAATGGCCAAGGTTGAGCAACATTACTTCAAAGGAAATTGCAATGGGATGGGAAAGAAAGGAACATTTGCAAAGCAGAAATCCAGTTGCGCAACGTGAACTGATGCCTCGTACATTTCAACCAAAAAGAACATGACATAAACCTCACTATAAAAACCAATAGGAAATATTAGTAGAAGTTGCTCCTTGCTTAAAAAGATCATTTCTAATTGTGTTCCCTAGCAACTGATATGCATGTTCCCATCAATCTTGCCCCCAAAAAGCATGGTTATTTTATTCCCTTAATTTATTCCCTGCCTTTTAAGCCCAAAAAAGTGCCCTGAAGTATGGCTGCTGCTATTCCCCATCAGCAGCGCTAAATGAGAAACGTACCCTACTTTGAGCAATCTTCATAAAAGGTTTGAGCTTCTTGTGCCCTTGAGTGAGTTCAGACAAGCAAGAAAATAAGCCATTAAACCCATCTTTTAGCCTAATGCTAATCAGAAACGTGAGAATTCAGGTCCTTGCGCTGTTAGTCAAGCTCAGTTATAATGGATTTTTTTCCCCAGGGCTGCAATGGAAAAAAATTGCAGACCTCTTAGAATTTGCATAGCCTTTAAATGGTGCGTAGCCTTGGTTGTTTTATTTCAAAGATGTCTCTACATCTAATAGTTTGGCATTATAGCAAACTCTTCCCACCATTTCCTTCTGTTAACAGCTTTATCTTTCTCTAACACTTGTTAGGGAGAGTTGACTCATAAGAACATGGGAATAACTTAGACTGATGGCTGGCAATCCCCCTGAAGGGTTTGTATGGAATAATTTGTCAGGATTATTCTAGGAAATATCTGACTTGTTTAATTTTAAGTGAAATATGGCAAAGTCGGTAAGCTCCCAAGGGAGCCAGATGGTCCTGCAGAGAATATGAAAAGAGGACAATGTTAACATTTAATAAGCTCCTCCAAATTCACCAAACGTAGCAAAACGAGCAGAGAAGTAATAGAGAAAAACTATCTTTAATGACTCCTCTTTAATGAAATGAAGTAAGAACAGATGTTCCCCTTGGCTTTTGCTAAATACCATTAGACATCCTGTCTCTGTGGATTGCATAACAGCATTTAGTCCCTTAAAGTTACCTGCAAGGTAAATCAACATTATAGTAGTTGGCTTCATTGAGCTCAGTAGTTTTTTTCAAAATTTTCACTCTTTGCATGCTTACCTGGGAAGACCTTTTCCTTTACTTGTTGTAACTGCATTTTGAAGAGAAAGGGAAGCTGCAGTTGGTGTAAATTTGTATATTGGATGCAGAATGAGAGGGCAATCAACACTTATAAGCTACATGAAAAACTCAAAATGTAGCTGAGTACGGAGGTTCAGGCAAAGAAAACTCAGAGAAGGTAATTGTCCTTGAAAATGCTGGCTCCCAGTTCATTGCAGTGTCAGATCAGTATGGTATTCTCTGATCTGACACTGCAATGAACTCGGAGCCAGCTTGGTAGATTTCTGGTTAAATCCGGAATTTGGTGTTGCTGGTGACCTGCAAAATTCATTTGTGGCTTCAGTTTACAGTACATATAGATCCTGGAGTTTGCTGACGCTGAAATGTGTTGGCATACATAATGATACGGTATCCTGATGTATGATTGTAATTTCGAAAACTGACGCCCCTCCCCTTTGCCATATGCTTCGTAGACTCGATTGTTAAATTGCTTTGACCTTTTTGCATAACCAGTAACCACTCTGGAAGGCAAAGCCTCCGTTCTCCTGCATTTCAGCTTGTGGCGTTGCCTGATCTTACCCATCTCAAAGTGACAGAGTTAGATAAGTCTGATCCGTGCTTTGGAGTGGGGGGGGGGGAAATGATTTTCCTAAACCAAAAATCAAAAGAAAAGCATGCATATTATTTACCTCTGGAATATATTCCCAGGACAGATTACGCAGTAGAAGAGAAAAATCAGTTTTTTCAGTGTTGTAAATTCAAGAACTAATATTCAGTTATTGACTATCTGCATCAAAGCTTTATCAACGGAGTTTCATCAAAGTTGCTGCACCCATTTTTATAGAACTTGGGGTCAAATTTGGCAGGTAAATTCTCCTGCAGTGTTCTCCTGTTACTTCAGTCTGGGTCAAGACAGGACAGCTGATTTTAAAAAGTTCAGCACGTGCCTTTTGCCTGCTCTGCAGGGATCTGTGTCCTTGGTGCAAAACTGGAAATGTCAAGAAGCAAATTCAAATTTTTTTACGTTACAGCCCAAGTAAGAAAAAACTGGTGTTTCCATTCACACATTTTGCTGAACTGTAACCTGATGTTTACTTTGGACTTGGTGCACTTCGTAAATCAGAGATATGGTTCATTATGTTGTATAAATTCAGCCAGCTTTGTGTTGAGCCAGGGCACCGTGTTCCATTTTATCAAACAGAAAAACCAGAAAATCTATTTTTTTTTCTACCATTTTACCATTTTTTTAAAGTCATCCAGGCTCTAGGCCAGTGTTTCTCAACCTTGACAATTTTAAGGCATGTGGACTTCAACTCCCAGAATTCCACAGCTAGCATTGCTGGCTGTGGAATTCTGGGAGTTGAAGTCCACATGCCTTAAAATTGTCAAGGTTGAGAAACACTGCTCTAGGCTTTACTCCTTTTCCCGGTTTCCTTTCATCTGGAAACCCACCCAGTTGCCCTTAAGGAAAAGCTGTAGAGAAGCTGCTCTGAATTTTTTTTCCTCCATTGCTTCTTTTGTGGCCTTCTTTCTTTAAAAGAGATCTGAACAATGACTTGCTGCTGACTGACTTCCAAAGGCCGATTTCAGCATTCTTCAAGTCAGTTGCTTTGTACTTCCTGTTGCTCAATATATCCCACATAATATTAGCCCTTTTCTTCATGAATCATTGTAAGGTTTGATGCAAGCTACCAAGTCACTTTTTGGTTACTCATAGGCCTAAATTGGCATTATGCAAGTCAATTTCGGTCATCACCCCATGTGCCTTTTTCAGTAACATGATCCTTGGAATTAGAAAGTTTTATGGGGGGGGAGAGAATACATGGCATAGACATTCTTTTTCTTAACAGTTAATTCTTAATGTTGAGTGACACAGACGGGAGGGGGGGGAAATGCTCCAGAATCCTTAATTTTCAGCCTAGTACAAAAAAAAGGAGGGTATAGGATTTCCAAAGTCCTTTGATCGGTGCTTTGTTCTAAGAGGAACATGATTAGCTTCTTTTTGATTTTTGAAACAATCATTTTACAAAGCTGTAATGGAGCTTGTGGAAATATTGACATGCTGTCAGAACAATGAGCTAGCTTCGGAGAGGTGTCCCAGATTAAAGGACTTGTTCCAGAGCTTCTAACATTGTCTTCTGAGATGTACGTATTTTAGGATGAGTGCCAAGATATGCAAAGCCTCAGTAAAGTTGGCTTGGTTATGACTTAGACTGCTGCGTGTCCTCAACCAATTTGCTTCATACAACATACATTCTGGTTATGTAAACCATTACTTAGTATGATGGGTAGTTCTTTTGTTGTAAATCAGAAAAGAATGCAAGCAAACTTTGAGTCCTGCTGCAGGAGAATCCCACAGTAATGGTTTCTGGGATCCTTTAGCCTTAATTATTAATTTTCTTCAGTTTTAGATGTACTTCATTCTTGATTTGGGGACAGTGAAGCTGCTGTTACTAGAAAATGATGGGATCACATATTGCATTAGAGCATTAGTTACTGCAAGTAAGCTTGATTGAACCAAGTACAGTTAGCTGGAACATCACTGTAAAATATACCATCAAATAATGGTTTCCTAGATGATTCCCAAACAAAGGATTTGGTGGCTTAGCACACGTTGTGAATCAGACAAAAACCACTTCCCTATAGATCTTGGTGAGTCTTGAAAGGGAACAGAATCCCTCATCATCCGGAGCACTCAAGATCTCGGAAGCCAGCCAGCCTGAAGTTCAAATAAAAAGGAGGTCTTCAAATAGAAGATTCTTAGCTGCTGGAAGTGGTCCTGGAGTGAGCAGCAGACCATAATGATAACAGAGATCAACTGATAGATCAAATCTGTCTGCCATTCAATTCTTGGCAAGCTGACCAAGCATAAAAAAGCTAGTGGAGGAGAACATTTACTCTCTGTTAAAGCTTTTATCTTTAAGTCACCCATACGAATAATGTCTCCTGATTTTGAAGAGGAGTCCTTTGGTTGACACATAGGCTATCCTTAGGAAGGGGTGATTTATTAACAAGAAATGCAGTGGTAATGTTCCTGTTGGGTTATTCTAACCCAAATGGGATTTATTTACAGCTTAATTTATTTTGAAAACAGAAGCAACAGGCCTAATCTGATCCACAAATTAGTTTAAAAGTAGCAGGCTACTTGAAAAGCACAGGTGAGGCGATTACTTCCTTGTAATAGAATTTGCTTTTCAGGTATGCTTAAGTGAGTCAGCAGACATTTTGAAATTGTGCAATCAATCTTGAAAATTACCTATGGAATATATTTTGGGCTGAAATTTAAGTTGACACATAGCAAATGCCACCGAATCATATCTGTAACTTCACCAAGTTTCTAATCTCTTGCAGGTGTTGGCTTGGTTTGAAGAAGGAGAAGAAACAGTCACAGCCTTTGTAGAACCTTTTGTAATCTTACTCATATTAGTTGCTAATGCAATTGTGGGCGTGTGGCAGGTAAGCAAAGACGTGCTCGGAAAATTGAAAAGTCGTTGCAATGTGTGTGCTTTTTTTGACAGATTGTTTTAAGTCGTTTAGAGTCACCATTATCATATTTATTAAGAAAACTGAAAGTGGAGACTAGCTCTGAAATTAGCTAAACCTTTTCATTCTTAAGATAGTTGCTGAATGTTGTAAAGATAAGACAGAACCCAAGTAGCCATGTACTTAATTCAGTCCAGCAAAGAGACTTCGGACTTTTAATGCTTAACCATCAACTTGTGTCTTTCCTTAGTAAAGTAGTGATGAATTCCACTCTCTGTCAGAGAAAAGGACTCAAGAATATCACTGACAGAAATTAAGGTTATGTGGATTAGGTTATAGGTTAAATCTATGAAAACAGAGAGCTGCCAAACATTTTAATTTATTTGGTAAGTGTTCCATATATCCAGTAAAGGACACCCCATGAAATTTACCCGAGCCACTGCATCCACCAAAATATATCCTTGTATCAGGGCACAGCCCTTGTTTACCTTCTATTCCTTACTCAAATTTTCCATGAGAGAATATCAAAACGCATTATGAGGATAATATATTAGAGCAGCATTTCTCAACCTTGGCAACTCTAAGACATGTGGACTTTTAATTCCCAGAAGTCCCCAGCCTGCAGCCTGGGTTGATCTCTACTTTCCTTTTCATCAGGGCAGGTGGGTCTGGCTTGTTGCCAACAGTATCTTGGGCTCTGTTTTGTGGGGCAGAACAGTTCAGTACTGTGGTTGGGTCCTGTCACTCAGTTATACAGCACGGAATATTAATAGCTTGCTTCCTGGATGCGAGTGACGTTTCTGGCATGAATATACCTTGTTTTTTCTTTTTCATCTTGGTCATATGAGAAAGCCATAATTTGCCCCTAATTCATCTTTCATAGCGGGGTAGTGTTACCATAGGAACTGGGAGGATGGCATCTAGGATGGTATGAGAGTTGGAACACAGAGGAAGTTTTAAAAGGATGAAAAGAATAAATAATAAAAAAACCCAAAGCCCAATACTGCCCATTAAATTTAATGATTTAGAATTTAGATTTAATTTACAGTTGACGCATTGGAATAGCTGAAAGTTGAGAGGCTTTCCTGTTAGATTTACGTCTATTAAAAAAGACAAATTATTGTCTACCCGCCCTCAGCGCTGATATGAACACTGCCTCTAAAAGCAAGAAAAATTGTTGAGCTGAGTGAAGAATTCTTCTGGCACTCAGATGAAAATGTAGTTGTTATGATAGAACAATGCTATAAAAAGCTTTAATATTCACTAATCATCTGTCTGCTAACGTTGGTGACAGTTTAACGTTTCTTGCTTCTGAAAATGGAAGGGGTGACTTAAAAATGTATTTCTTAGCTGAAAAGTAAGAGATTGAAACTGCCTTCTCCTGATTACTTTTCTTAGTCTATCTCAAATACCTGCAAACATACATTCCTTTTACATGGACCTATTTTCCACTTAATTTGGATTCCAGCGGTCCTGCCTCTCCACGTGTAACAGCAAAAACCACAGTCAGATGTTTCTCGTTTGGCTGCTGGACTTTTCACGACAGACTAATAATTTAGCAAGATTTTAGCCATAAGGTACAGTTGTATTGACTCAAAGCCCATGGGCTCTTTCTAAAAAAAACCCCGAGAAAACGCTCATGAGGCGCATTGCAAGGTTCTGGTCTAAGATCCCAATCCTACTACCGTGTTGTGTTGATAGCAGGTACTTTGTTAGCAAGTCGTGAATCTGAAATGTGTTGAAGTTGTGGGAACAGTGTCGGAACAATGAATACACTCTGCCAAACCGGGGCCAAATGCTGTGGGAGAGAAAGTATAAAGGAACTTAATTACAAAGTTGTAACTCTTGAGTTGTCAAATTTATCAGTTACCTTTTTAGTCAAGAAGTACACTTTGGATCAGAGTTATTTTAGAAGAGATAAGAATCTGCAGTTAAAAGGGATCCGGCTGTTGGATTATCTCCTTTTTTTGCTTTATGCACACCAAAATTGCGCATTTAGGCTTTATTTGACAGTGAAATTTTGCAGGCTGCTCCCTCAGCTTAGCTGCAGCAAGACGTATGCCTCCCTTTCTGCCAGTGGATGATCCTAGATTATTTATGAAACGGCAAACTTGGAGGCCAGCTGCTCACCACAGTAGTTAAAAAAATGTAGAACTACTGAACGCCTGCTGTTGATCCTGCATTTTTTAGGAGCGAAATGCTGAAAATGCCATTGAAGCTCTTAAGGAATATGAACCTGAAATGGGAAAAGTTTATCGACAAGACAGAAAAAGTGTACAAAGGATAAAAGCGAGAGACCTTGTCCCCGGTGATATCGTGGAAGTAGCTGGTGAGAACTTTTATTTACTGCATAATAATGGATTTCAATTGCTTACTACATAATAATGGGTTTTCAAATGCTTTTTTTTTTTTTTGTATTTGTGTATTGGGGGAGGCTTCTGTATTTTGAGGTACCATTGACCCTGAATTCTTGACGTGCAGTTAAAGCTTAGTAAGCAAACAGAAGAAAACAAAATCTGTGTTTTTACTGCATAGGATTCCCTTCTTTTAGAGTAACCCCCTCTTCCTTCTCTCCGAGAATCTCTATGGAGATTCTCAATCATTTAGGTCATGCTTGTCCCAGAAATGCTTTTTCCAAAAGGCAGTTAGACTTGGTTCCTTTTTTCCTTGAAAACATTTCAATTCTCATCCAAGAAGCTTCTTCAGCTCTTTAGTCCAGAACTAACATATTGCAGAACTGTTGGCAAAAGAAGGGCTCACAGTGGCGTTCAGCTCTTCTGTGAAGACTCCAGACCAGTGTGGCTAGGAGACCTTTGGTCTCCTGTGTGCTCTGCTGCCCCTGGAGGCCTGATATGCACTCCCCTCCCCAGTCTCCTAGGCCCATCCTCTCCCGGCCCATCCCAGGGGCTGTCTTGGATGTGGCCGACTGCCATGGTCACTTGGCACCTCTCCTATGTAGTACAGCCAGTGGAGAGTACTGGTTATGTCACTTAAAAAAAAAAAAAACTCTACGCATCCGAAAAAGGAGGTAGTGGAAAGCTATGACTTCTTCTAGAAAAAGCAGGCATTAGATTAAAGGAGGGGGTTTCTTTCCAAGGCCGGTGAAGGAGCAAAGTCTGCCTTCTAGCTAAGAAAAGTGGGCGTAGATGTTTCGTGTCCAGTCCATCCTGCAGTGGCCAGAGAAGTTCTCTGCAGGACATCCAGCCGCCAGTCCTCCTAGCCACGAATGTAAAGCGTAGCTCTTGCAGCGAACGCAGGCAACGGCAACCGAGCTAAAATTTCACGGTGGTGGTGGAAGGCAGGGAACAGACACCGTGTTCCATAGCTGATGTCAAGACTCCCGAGGTGTGAAAGACGGTGGGCATGCCTCTGTCATAAGCCTAAGCGTGTTGGATGGCCTTTGACATGGTGTCTGCCAACAAAGGACCATGTAGGGAAGCAACAAAGCCCTCGGTCGGGGGAAGCGTATCTGATGGTGGAATTTTAGGCAGTGTGCCAGGGACATTTGCGTGTCTGCACAAAAGCTCCTCGCTATTGACCAGCATAAAAGAACCAGGTGGCCCCACCGGTCAGTGGGGCCTAAGGGCCAGGGATCCCTCAGGAGGCTTTCTGCAGGAGCAGAGGGGCTGACCCTAAAGTCGGTTGCACAGCCAATAGACAGATTGCCAACAATGCTCTCTGGAGGGGAGCAGGAAATTGACAGCGATTTGGGGCTCTGTTATGGTCGTTAAGCAGAGAACTGCCTGTAGAGGCCAGAACTGCATGTCAGTTCCTTCTTCAAGGAAAAAGTGGCATCTTGCCTCGTGACAAAATCACAATGCACCACCAGGTTGAGCTGAGCTCTCTTAAATTTTCTCCTTTAGTGCCCTGATTCCTGGCAATCGCCGGAGAAACCCGTTGGGTTATAAAGGAAGAGGTACACGCTGATGCATCAGTTGCCTAGGATTCGAAAGCTTTTGGTCTCGGCAGTCAGAACGATGAAGGCACACGCGAGACGTCCTCGTCACGTTAGGGATTGTTTGGCTTCTGGGAAAGGGTCTGGCTCACCACGATCTACCAAAATGGGACTTGTGATAGGCCACTTTGTCTAAGAAGTGGAGTAGTTTGGAGGGGAGGTTTAATGGAAGCAATTTGGTCTTGCACGGAGCTCCCTGACTCTCTTGCAAAGGAGAACTGCATAGTGGGGTGACAAGCACCTTCCGAGTTTTTTGTAGGATTCATAATGGAGTTTAGGAACCAAGGGCCACCCCAACACATTCGGATGACTTTCATGACTTTCGCGCCCCCCTTTCAGTGCTTATTCTGAAAGCTCTGAATGACTAACCTGACATTCCAAGCTACAGTGTGGTTCCTTTGCTTTGGCTTTGCCATGAAGGTTTAGTAGGACCGATGACGGATTTTTTAGCAAGTCATGATTAAACCTAACGTATTTCATGCATTGAGCCAACCTTTATCCTGAATAAATTGTAGAAGACTGTTTGTAGCTTGACCATGGGGACTGCTTTAATTTAGTGGCTTGCCAAATGCTGTACATATTTCAGTTCAGTGGAACAACGTAGTAGAGTAAAGCTCTATTGATTGTAAATTGACAGTAGCCTTAATTCTGGGCACTCCATTGTAAACGGGCATCAATTCTGTACAATTGCTTGTAACATTGCAGAGAATATTGGGAGCTCATATTTTTTCTTACCATTCCTGTTTAGTGTCAGCTTAAATCCCTATCAGGTACTGAAACAATATATATTTATTTAAGAGAACTAGTTGGAAAAGCTGGGCTATATGGGGTGTGCTTGCTTTCAGCATGACTTGACTCTCTTCTAATCTCCCCGAGTCACAATGTCAAACAGCTTTTTGTGGGTAGGAAATATGTAAATACATTTACACAGAGCTTTCATCCTGCTTTGATGTAGATAGTAGTCTTAAGTGAAGTAGTTCAAAGCAAAATAAATCACAGGCTCATGCTGCAACCTGCTAAAATCTCTCAAATGGCCCAGAGTTCAAACCAGGGCAGAGCATTTATTTTCAGAATTATTTATAAAAGGGTTGTTGCACTTGACCTCTTGCCTCGTGGGTCCATTTCCCCCCTGTGAGTTATTGAAGTATAAAGCCTGAAGAATGCGAGGCCTGTTACTCTCATGCTTTGAATTCGCAGAATGGTTGCGATCTTATAACCTTAGTAGAACTCAAGAGGAATTTATTATTGGAACAAAAGGTACCGGACAGAATTTTTGAACATCAAGATAATTTGCTGCCGATATTCCATTCTGCTCTGGCAAATACACTTATTCGGCCTACAGAAGCTTTTTTGAAACGAGGCAGTGAGAACTTGGCTTACAAGATCTAGCAGTTGTCTAAACCTAATTGGAGATCTGCTCCTTGTTGCTTGGACCAAAGAGATTAAGAAAGGTTTTCCTTCTGTAAGGAAGTGTGTGTTTTTGCCCTCAAATTGTGCTGCCGTGGCAGTTATTTTTTGTTTCTTGTGCCTGCTAAACCCTCCGTGCATAGTTATTGCTATAATTAAAGCCTCAGCGTTATTAGCTTTTTCAGCTAATCAGTTTACGGTTCTTAACATTTGGACAGTGGCAATTATCGTTATTAAGAGATTCAGCGTAACCAGGTTTGTCGGGCAAGGGAGCTCAGGACCCCAAATAGCCAATCCACAGAGGTGGCAGCAGGCCCCTTCGCTGATATCGTGCAGGGGGAATTTGATTATGAGCCTCTCTGATGTCACGGTGGCAGCGTAAGCCCAGCAGGAATCTGGTGGCATCTGGCCAGGTTCTGTGTGGAAACCATAAACGACGCGTTTGTGGGGAGAGGAAATGCATTTACAGGCTTAGATAATTTTGGTTTCCCCCAGCATTGTTCCTAAGTTAACAGACATTTGTTTGATGTTTGTGTCCAGGGCAGATCCAGGGAAGGAAAAGAAATTGGTTAGCAGAGATGACAGGTAGTCCTTGAGTTACGACCACAGTTGAGTCCAACATTTCTCTTGCTAAGCGAGATATTTATTAAGTGAGTTTTCCCCCATTTTACGACCTTTCTGGCCACAGTAAAGTGAATCCGGCTTTGCCATTGACTTCGCTCGTCAGACGGTCGCAAAAGGGGATCCGGTGATCCCGGGAGGCTGCAGCGATCATGAGCCAGTTGCCAAGCTTCTGAATTTTGATCACATGACCACGGGGATGCTACAGTGGTCACAGGTGTGAAAAACGGTTATAAATCCCTTTTTTCACTGCCGTTGTAGCTTTGAATGGTCACTAAATGGACTGTTGTAAGTCGAGGACAAGGTACCACATATTATTGGAGGAGGATGCAAATTTTGGGTGCTATTAACACATGGCAGAAAGTCACGGTCTGTAAGTCTGCTTTCCTAAGGGCCAGGTCCCAGGCGTGCTAAGCCAGGGGCGTCCAACCTTGGCCCCTTTGAGACCTGTGGACTTCAACTCCCAGAATTCCCCAGCCAGAGTTTCTCCAGCCAACAACTGGGAGCAGCAGACTTGTCTGTCTGTGCCGCATCTGAGATATTCAGCTGTCAAGCTTGGCAGCCTTGGGCTTCCTGATGGACTGATGGTCTTTTTCTCACCCGGTGCCAAGTCTCCACTTGCTCTTGGGTGGAACTGTGATAGCCGAAAAGCAGCTGCTGGACAACGCGCTTCCTCACGACATCCATGCGAGGAGGAGCACATTCAAATAGTTTGCCCATTTTTGGTTTTGGCCATTGTTTGTCTTGTACTATTTTCTCTTCACTGCTGAAGGGCAGAAGGAGCTCAGAATGCTTCCCCCCCCCCATACTTCTTTTCAATTTCACTATAATGCTGTAGAAAAGGGATATCGTGAGCTGGCAATATAAATAGACCAAGTCAATAAAAGCTGTCTAGGGGAATTTTTAAAACGGGCCAGGGCTTTCCCATCAAAGAATATGTATAAAAGTTACAAAAATACCATTTTCCCCCTGAGAGATTATATAATACAGGAAGTCCTCAACTTAGAACAGTTCATTTAGTGACTGTATGAAGTTGCAGCAGCACTAAAAAAAAAAGTGGTTTAATGGCCATTTTTTTACACTTACGGCCGTTGCAGCATCCCCAGGGTCAGACGCTTGGCAACTGACTCGTACTTATAACGGTCGCAGTGTCCCGGGGTCACGTGATCCTTTTTTGCGACCTTCTGACTAGTGAAGTCTGAAGGAAGCCAGGTTCACTTAACAATTATGGTACCAACTGAAATTTGCTTAGCAAGAAAGATCGTAAAATGAGACAAAGATCATTTAGCAACATAAGCTTTGGGCTCAGTTGTGGTTGTAGTTGCCTTTCTCAAAAGGCCAGGCTAAGCCCCAACCCAAAGTAGCGTCATCTTAACCGATGAGTAAAGGATCCCATTTTCATGGTAACCATGCCGATCTACCATGACTACGCTGTGGTTTTTCCCTCTGTGTCTCTGATTACTGCCAGTTGCATAAGCAGTTCCTGTAGGGATTAAGCAGCTGAGAATTCCCTGCAGGAAACCTCGTGGGAACTGGTGCGGCAAGGCTTGCTCTCTGTGATAGGATCCGTCATTTACGAGAGGGTGCCACCTTGAGCTCTGGGGAGTGAGTTTTGCATAAATGTTCAGTACCAATGTTCCTTGGGTCTCGGGAACTCCTAAAGCAGCGGTGTCCAACTTTCAAGGCCTGGCACCCAGCATTCTCCAGCCACACCCTGTCCTAAAGGATGATAATGTTGGCTATCTGATGCTGGTCACCGCCAATCTTAAGAACAAAGAACGGTATCAAATCTGCTCTTTTTTAGTTTTATTTTCCACTGAATACAGCTCTGTTTTAAGCACACGCTCCACTTGGCTGCATGTTACTAAGATGATCCATGCCAGAAGGGAACCAGGATTGATCCAGATCGGGAAGCCATTCCCATAGGCTCAACCAAATGCCAGCGGGAATCTAATAAAGCCATTAGCACCTTCCTACTGGTATTAGAGTGAACATATAGTCTTTGCAATTATAGTCAGCTGGGTTGACAGAATGACATTTCTCTCTGAATTAAAGGCGGAAGTAGGAGACGTAACATAACATTAGGAAAGAAACTTCCACATGCTGAGACTTCCTACCACAGGTATAATGGTAAAGAAAGGCACGGAATAATATTCTGAAAAAAATAAAGCAGCAAGAGAGAAGTGTTTTTTGAATAAGCACCCAATGTTATTATTATTACTCTGATGCGCACTGCACATCTGGAAAAATATTTGGATTTCCTACAGGTCACTTAAACTCGCGCTCTTTTTTTTCTTTTCTTCCAACCCACAGTTGGGGACAAAGTTCCTGCTGACATCAGAATTACTTCCATAAAATCCACAACTCTACGAGTTGACCAGTCGATTCTCACAGGTAGGGAGTTCTTCAGAGAAAAGCAGCGGGTCTCCGGGATCGGTTGGAAACATCTGTCCTTGATGGCAAAGTCCCATTGTGTTGGTTGTGATGAAGATGACTCGTCTTCTTTTGCCCTGAGTTCATGTTCCTTCCTCTCTCTCCCTCCCACCCACCCCCCATGGAAAGTTAATTCCAAATGAGAAAGTGCCTCCTACCCGGTTTCTTTAAAAGTTGGAACAAGCATGTTTTGTCAGCTTTCCTCTTGGAGTGTTGTAGTTGTATCTGGCTTATTTCCATTCTTGAATTGCCAAAACGGCTTGTAAAAAAAAACCAACCTGTACAACCGATAAATTATATTAGAATAGTGGGGGGAGAGTGGAAGAAATGAATGGGGGTTGTTTTGCTTCCACAAGTTGGTTTGCTAAACACTCCGGGCAGTATGTCCAAAGTGCAGAGAGAATTTGCACTTCTGTGCTAACGCCTTTGACGTTTTTTCTAGGTGAATCTGTCTCGGTTATTAAACATACGGACCCTGTGCCTGATCCTCGTGCAGTAAACCAAGATAAGAAAAATATGCTTTTTTCTGTGAGTAAAATCCTGACCCGGGTGTTTTTTTGTAGATTATTTAGTGCTTGCTTCATGCTTCATTTAAAAACAAAATTAGCTACTCCTTACTCTGCTTAGAGTGCCCTGACAACATCACAACTGTCTCGATCGTTTAAATCAGTGTTTTTCAAAACTTGGCAACTATAAGATGTGTGGACTACATATCGTAAAGTTGCCAAGTTTGAAAAACATTAAAATAATAGTCATCTTGAACTGAGCCTTAAAAACTGAAGGTGCCTGTAAGCACAGGTTGATCCAAGTTGTTTTCAGCTAAACTCTGTGGATTATCGACCATAAAATGAAAAAAGGGGAATCTCTTAAAATGTCCAAGGCTTCCCTCCCTAACTGTGTGGTCCTTTTGGGGAGAGTTTTAAAGAGTTCTGTTTGTGCTGAGAACAAGAGACTTCTGGTATTCAAGTGGGAACTTCCACATCACCGATCAATTACTACTCAAGAATTTCATAACTGGAGTCCTGGCTATTTATGTGATTTATTATCCTGGCATTAACCCGCTCCTGCTGTTCCTGCCTCTGGCAAAACAGCTGAGAAACTCCCCCCCCCCTCTTTTCTTTCTCCTGCCTCTGTTCTGAGGCAGTCACCCCAATTAAAATTTATGTCCTCTTCGTCCAGCCATGGATGAACTTAAGAAGAAGCTGTTCCTTGAGAACGTGGAGTGAGTCCTCAGAGGTTTACAATATGTACACCGTCTTGCCAAATATTGGCCGGCTCGTGCCAGTTTATGGAAACCGGTTAGGTTGGTTTGAATGGAAAGGGCGTTGTGTAATAGCATTGCTTTTTTAAAAAAAAAAGTAGTGCTGACACCTATAAACTCAGATCCTCCCTATGGGACTCAGCTTCTGTTTTGCACAGTGATCTCCTTATGGAATTGCAAAGCAAGATCCCATCAAGCACGCTAAAAGATTGGATACGCCTGGTCTACTCTCTGATCTCATCTGTCTATCAATTTCTGTGCTGCTCTCCTCTTTTGGCCAGCCTTGATACCGTTGCTTGTGTGCTGATTTCCTTTGCACACCTCATCGACACGGCTGTTGGTGCTTATACTTTATTTCCGTAAATCTTCAACACAGATCTGTTTGGAGTGCTGAAGAATAAATTAATAAATGGGGAAAGGGTCTATCTCTTAAAACCTAGTTAGGAAAGAGGGAGAAACCGTAGATATGAATATTATTGTATGCCTAAAAATCCCTGCCTTTAAACTGGAGGCACTAAGGCACCGATGAGGACCAAAAAGACAACAACACATTTGTGGAGGGAGGAGGGGATTAATATGCAATATCGGAAACATGCTACCTGTTTTGGTAGAACATGTTTAATTGGTAAGAGGAATAAAAAATACCAGACGGCAGTTATGTACCTAAAAGTCTGTTCACAGTTTGAAGAAGAAAATCACATGCAAAACTTAATGTCGCCTTAAGTTAGAGTGCGGAATCCGATCAGCTAAAATGAGATTCTTGCACTAAGACTCTATTGAAATAATATATGAAATAATGAACTTGGGAGGTTTTTTTTTTTTTTAAAGTAATCGTTTTATCACTTGAAATACCTGAATTCAAATGTTTTCCCATCCAGGGTACGAACATTTCTGCGGGCAAAGCCATGGGGGTTGTGGTGGCTACTGGGGTCAACACGGAAATTGGGAAAATCCGTGACGAAATGGTGGCCACCGAGCAAGAGAGGACCCCCCTGCAGCAGAAGCTGGATGAGTTTGGGGAGCAGCTATCCAAGGTCATCTCGCTGATCTGCATCGCCGTCTGGATCATCAACATCGGCCACTTCAACGACCCCGTCCACGGCGGCTCCTGGATCCGGGGCGCCATCTACTACTTCAAAATTGCCGTGGCCCTTGCGGTGGCTGCCATTCCAGAGGGCCTGCCTGCTGTCATTACCACCTGCCTGGCCCTGGGCACCCGTCGCATGGCCAAGAAGAATGCCATCGTCCGGAGCCTTCCCTCCGTGGAAACCCTGGGCTGCACCTCGGTGATCTGTTCCGACAAGACCGGCACGCTAACCACCAACCAGATGTCGGTTTGCCGGGTAAGCTGATTCAGTTTCTGTGGCTTAGGAAAGGAGACCCATAAAATTGGAGGGAACTGTTTGTGCCTTGGTCTCTCTGCTCCTAAAATTGGCCTTCGGGATTTGATTTTGATCAACTACTCTTGCAAAACCGTTTTAGAGAAGCTGCCTGTATTTTGAGGTCCTTCAATAAGCCAAGATATAAGCTTTAATTTAAACCAGAGACTGTATCGACTCCTAACAATTTTTTTTGGAGCCACCCCAAGAAATTCAAGCCTTTTAATATGTGCCTTTCTTCCTATTAACTCAGCCAGTTCTGCTCACTTTGGGAAGATAAAAGGAGGCTGAGAAAACAAATCAGGTCTTAGTTTATAATAAACCCTAACGGTGGGAGGTTTATTCTTGTCCCAGGCAATTCTCTAAGGAAGATGATCAGCGCAACTGTGAAATATTGATTAAATTGCCTTCTTTCGAGACAACCTGGAGGGATGGAAATTGTACTCTTTAGTTGCAAGGAACTCTTCTCTTTGAAGGGGTCCCCTCCAGCTGTCCTCAGAGCAGGATGTTGAGATGACTAGGCGAGAACATCTGATGAGTCAACAGCGATAAAGACATCAGTAGATTTTTCTGGGTCTTTTCGTTCTCTGTACTGATGGGCTGCTTACCTATGTGCGTTACTTCCTCTCCCTGTCCCGCATTTGGCTGTTGAAGCGTAGCACACAAAGAGCGCTCAAAGCCGTGGCTCATCTGTATTCCAAAGGAGGCACTTTGCAGGGATCTTGCATAACCGTCTGTCTTTCGCGGGGTAGAGGCCAAACAGCGGAATAGCTCCACCACAAAGCAGCTCGTAAACCTTTCTTCTTCTTCTTCTTCCGGAAAGCATCTTTGGCAGGGCAGAAAATCTTTGCTTTGCCTTTAAAAAAAAAAAAACAAGCAAAAACCTCTTATCCTATAGTGTCAGATCTATCAGGCAATGCAGAAAAAGCATTTCCTGGAGATTGTGGGGCTGGTGAGGAATGGCTGAGTGTGTAAAAGCTATGTGAAAATATCTCTTCAGCAAGCTTAATGATGCTGGGAAAGGATTTTTCTCCATCGGGGTCTGTTGCCAAACTGTAGCTAGTCCAAGTGGATGCAATTTAAATTCTTGAGACTTACACGGTAGCTGAATGTCAGTAGTAACAGCAAAGCGGCCCGAATTGAAGTTGGGTGTTGCTTGGCGAGAGGACTTGGGGGGAGGGAACGTAAATTTAAGACCACTATTCTCTTCCTTTTCTACAGTTTGGATGCCCTAGACTTGTGGAAGGGGGGGAAAAATGACATATTTGGATGCTTTTCATCCAGGATGTTTGCATCACTGGGTTGCCTTTCTAGCTGGTTTCTGTGAATTGAGCTGAAGCACCCTTCTGTCAGAGCTGCCAACCTTCGCTAGATGTCCATTCTGCCATACGTTATGGGGGGAGGGAGCTAGGGGGAGACAGGAGAGAAATGGGGAATTTGAATGAAGACCTGGGAAATCCAAAGAGACATCTCAAGCCCATGGGCCTGGAATGGACCATCTAGCCCATCCATCTAACCACAGCGGGGACATTTACCAAAGCATCTTCTCTGAATGTGACTGGACAGGGAGGTGGTAGCGGGGGTGGGCCAGGGAAGGGAAAGGTGACTAGGAGAATTTTCGCACTCAGACTCTTAGTTCTGTCTTTAGTAAGAGCAACCTTTTCACTACAAATCGAGTTGAGAGTGTTTCTTTCCTAAGGGACCGAGCTGGGCCAGGTCTGACACCTTCTGATGATTGGCGTGGGGCCCTCATTTTGAATGGTAGGAGCCTGAGAGGTCCACCCGCTTGAGAAGAAGGCTTTGTGTATTGTTCTAGTCAGATGAGAAGGGAGGAAATAGAGCCAGGTGTAATTTCAAGGAATAATAATAGTAGTAAAGTTGGAAGGGACCTTGGAGGTCATCTAGTCCAACCCCCTGCTTGGGCAGGAAACCCTACACCATTTCGGACAAATGGCTGTCCAGTCTCTTCTTAAAAACTTCCAGTGTTGGAGCATTTACTGCTTCTGGAGGCAGGCTGTTCCACTGATTAATTGTTCTCACTGTCAGGAAGTTTCTCCTTAGTTCTAGGTTGCTTCTCTCCTTGATTAGTTTCCACCCGTTGCTTCTTGTCCTGCCTTCAGGTGCTTTGGAAAATAGCTTAATTCCCTCTTCTTTATGGCAGCCCCTGAGATATTGGAATACTGCTATCATGTCCCCCCTTGTCCTTCTCTTCGTTAAACTAGACATACCCAATTCTCGCAACCGTTCCTTATATGTTTTAGCCTCCAGTCCCCTAATCATCTTTGTTGCTCTTCTCTGTACTCTTTCTAGAGTCTCAACATCTTTTTTACATCGTGGTGACCAAAACTGGATGCAGTATTCCAAGTGTGGCCTTACCAAGGCATTGAAGAGTGGTATTAATACTTCACGTGATCTATATTCTCAAAAGTACAGCTTGATCTTACTTTAAAGTAAAACGTGAGCGGTTCCTAAGAGCAAGCCGTCTGGTCAAACTTTGCATGCCCAGCTGTCTTTAATGGGATAATGTTCCAGATGGCCTCAGCTAGTTGAGCGTAATCACACCCTTGTCTCTCCGACAGATGTTTATTGTGGACCGAGTGGAAGGGGATAGCTGCTCTCTGAACGAATTCACAGTGTCTGGTTCAACGTATGCCCCGGTTGGAGAGATGTGAGAACTTTTATCCTTCCTATCTGCCAGCTTACAGGTCTCTTTGTATGCGGTGTGGCTAAGCCTAGAATTATAGGGCCCGAAAGGCAAACGGATGCTATAAAAGGGGATTGGTCTTGATATGTAGATTTAAACCCTCTCAGTCTGTAGATGGAAAGGTAATCATTTGTAATAGTTTTCCTTTGGGGAAGCAGGAAACCTGCACATGATTTGAGACATATTATTATTACTTGCTTTCTGTCTCTTGGGTAGGGAGAATGTGATAATTCTCTATTATACCCTTTTATTTTAAAAAAATATATAATCCAAAAGGGTCTTTCGGAGTTAGATTTTTGCTCTAGAAATGTCAGGCCCACACACAAACATTCCATTAAATTGATTTATTGCTAAAATCCTATGTACCGCAATCTTCTCAACTAACAGTCCTTTTGATGGCATTCGTCCAATTTTGTAAAATTTCCAGCTCTTAAAAGCAATTTTCATCAATTTGCTGCCCTCCATTTTTTTATTATTACTACTATTTTAACTTGCTTCAATTTCTCTGAGTCCTCCTAGGATCGGATTAGTTCACTGATAAATTAGGATTCTTCACAGGTGTCTGAAATTTCATCTTTGTTTTTTCCTGATTCCTCCCCATCTCCAAACAGTTCCAAAGATGATAAACCCATCAAATGCTGTATGTACGATGGCCTTATTGAATTGGCTACAATCTGCGCCCTCTGCAATGATTCGTCTCTGGATTTCAATGAAGTAAGTAGCCCTTGAGAGAATTGCCCAAACAAAACCCTTTTTGCGGTCTGCTAAACTGGACAGCGTGAGCAAGCCTGCATACACAACACCTAGCAAAATTAACATAACTCGGACTTTTGATGCCGCTGTTTTGGCCTCCGTGTTTCATATTGATCGTATCTCCTTCTTTAATGGACGTTAGTGATATTTTTACTGAGCTCGTAAGCCAGTTAGAACTGCTGAAGCGATATAAAATGTTGAGTGGCCAAATAAACCGTTACGAGCAGAGATCTTATCCCGATTTTAATCGGCTGGAGTTACACCAGAGGCCACTTTGGGTGAGCCTGCTTTGTTCCACGTCATTCCACCTCTCAGTTGAGCAAGCCCGTAAGTGATGGGGAATCACTCGGCCCCTTTGTACTAACAACAGCTCTTTTATTAAAGGCAAAGGGAGTTTATGAGAAGGTCGGGGAAGCCACGGAGACGGCCCTGACTTGTCTGGTGGAGAAGATGAACGTGTTTGACACGGATCTGAAAGGACTGTCCAAGATTGAGCGGGCCAACGCTTGCAATTCGGTCAGTACTTCCGAAAGGCTGGGCCTCGGGGGCCATGCTGGCGTTTTCACGCACGCTGGTTACAAGCCGGTTCTGCCTCCTCCACACAGGTGATTAAGCAGCTGATGAGGAAAGAGTTCACTCTGGAATTCTCCCGGGATAGGAAGTCGATGTCCGTTTACTGCACTCCGAACAAGCCCAGCCGGACGGCCATGACCAAGATGTTTGTCAAGGCAAGTACCCTGGGGGGAGGGAGGGGAGAGATCAGCCAGATCGCAGGCAGTCCTCGACTTCACAGCCGTTCATTTAGTGACCGTTCAAAATCACAGCAGCGGTGAAAAAAGTGACTTATGACTGTTTTTCACACTTAACGACCATTGCAGCGTCCCCATAGTCACGGGTCAGAGTTGGGACCCTTGGCAGCCGGCCTGTATTTATGACGGTTGCTGTGTCCCTGGGTCACGTGACCCCCTTTTCCAGTCTCCTGAGCAAAGTCAATGGGGTAAGCCAGACTCACTTAACAACCGTGTAACTTACTTAACGACTGTGGCAAGGAAGGTCGTAAAATGGGGCGGAATTCACTTTAACAGCTGTCTCGCTTAGCAGAGGAAATTGTGGGCCCCATTATGGTTGTACGTTGAGGACTAGCTGTACACCAAAACGTGACTCTGGGTTTAAGTGACGTCTTCGTGAAGCAGCTCCGTGGTGGTTCTGGGGTGAAATGATAAAAGGGCTTGCAGGCTGAATCGGCTGCCCTTTTGCTTCCCTACAGGGGGCTCCAGAAGGGGTGCTTGACAGGTGCACCCACTTCCGAGCGGGAAACATGAAGGTACCCTTAACCCCGGGCATTAAGCAGAAGATCATGACCGTCATCCGTGAGTGGGGCACCGGGAAGGATACGCTGCGTTGCCTGGCCCTGGCCACCCATGACAACCCTCCAAGAAAGGAAGATATGAACCTGGAGGATTCTGCAGGCTTCATCACCTACGAGGTTGGTTTAATGTCAGGTTGATGTTTTCATTGTTGGAGTCTAAACAGAGTTGATTTCAGCTGCTGGGTGGGGAGTCCCAGATTGGCTGGACGGAGCTCCTGGGGCTGATTTGAGCCTCCTGCTCACGAAGCTCTGTATTTTGTCACTAGCCTGCCCAGATCATGCAGTGCCCTAGACCTGCAAGACCGAGATTAAATCTCTGCTTTCTGACAAACAGGAATGACCAGCTTCACTAAAGCATGAGGAAGATGGAAGGATTAATGGGGGAAAAAAAGGAAAAGGAAAGGAAGGAAGGAAGAATAAAAAGGGAGGGAGCAAAGGAAGGAATAGGAAGGAGGGAAGGAGAGAGAAAGAAGAACAATAAGGAAAGGGGAAAGGGAAGGAAAGACATGGCAGATTAGATGTCTAAAACTTACAAAGTAATAAGGATAACTGCACATCTTTGTCAGTCTCCCCTTTGTTGAAATGCGGACAGCTTCCTCTGGATCAAGACACCTTAACCCAACCAGGAGTGTGAGAAGATATTCCAGGGGGTGCAGAAACTTGGGTTTTCAAAATTATAGTGTATATGCATAATTCGTTGCCGTTATTTCAAACTTTTGTAAGGGGGGGCGGGAATATATCACAAGCGTTTTAGGGGTGCGGGATATAGAAAAGGTTGGGAGCTGCTGCCTTAACTGGATCTGGCCTTGTTCCCCTTTCAGACCCACCTGACCTTCGTGGGCTGCGTGGGAATGCTGGACCCGCCCCGAATTGAGGTGGCCTCATCCATCAAGCTGTGCCGGCAAGCGGGCATTCGTGTGATCATGATAACCGGCGACAACAAGGGGACGGCAGTGGCCATCTGTCGGCGCATTGGCATTTTCGGCGAAGATGAGGATGTCACCACAAAAGCCTTCACCGGTCGGGAGTTTGATGAGCTTTCGCCAGCCGGCCAGAGAGACGCCTGCATGAACGCCCGCTGCTTCGCCCGCGTGGAACCCTCCCACAAGTCCAAAATTGTGGAGTTTCTCCAGTCCTTTGACGACATCACAGCAATGGTAAGTGCGCAAATAAGCAGTGACCTTTTATGCGCAGATAAGTGTGAGATGGGAGGTTGGGTTTTGGGAAAACATACAGGCATTACTGGGCTTACAACCATTCATTTAGTGACTGTTGGAAGTTACAGTGGCATTGAAAAAAATGACTTAAGACAGTTTCCCACACTTGTGACCTTTGCAGCAAAATTGGGTCCTGTGGTAAAAATTTGGACGCTTGGCAACTGACATGTACTTACGACGGTTGCAGTGTCCCGGGGTCACGTGATCCCCTTTTGTGGCCTTCTGACAAGCAGTCCGTGGGGAAGCCAGGTTTACCTAACAGATGGGTTAGTAGCTGAGCAACTGCAGTGATTTACTTAATTATTGTAAGAAAAGTAATAAATTGGGGCAAAGCTCACTTAACAACTAACTTAGCAACAGAAATGTTGGGCTCATAAGCCAAGGACTTCCTTTTCAGGGGATGAATAAAAACAGAACTTATTAATCTATTCTGATATGCTTCAGCCAGTTCCAGGGGCCCAGCGCTAAAGCCTTTGGCTGTGCATCCTGACCCAAGCTAAAACTTTTCCCAGACAGGAGACGGCGTAAACGATGCCCCCGCTTTGAAGAAGGCAGAGATCGGAATTGCCATGGGATCTGGCACGGCCGTGGCGAAGACGGCCTCTGAAATGGTGCTGGCAGACGACAATTTCTCCACCATTGTAGCCGCTGTGGAGGAAGGCCGGGCCATCTATAACAACATGAAGCAATTTATTCGCTACCTCATCTCCTCCAACGTTGGAGAAGTGGTCTGGTAAGTAACCTGGGTGTTTGCAACTAGGAGCAGAGCCAGGGCTAAGTTCATCCTGGCCGCTGTTGTGGGTATCTGTCACACCCTCTGGAAAGAGAGAAGCTGAACGGGGACCAAACGGGCGTCGTTTCCGGGTCTTGAGAACAGGCCAATCTAGACGGATAACGAGATCCCAAGGTAGCCTAAACTGGGGGGCTGTTTAAGCATCTAGAACAGGGGTGCCCAACCTTGACCATTTTAAGGCCTGCAAACTTCAGCTTTATTATTTATTTATTACGGAATTTTATTTGCTGCCCATCTTCTTTCAAAGCTGCTCTGGGCAGCTTAAAACATAATCATGGCTGACTGGGGAATTCTGGAGGTTGAAGTCCACAGTTGCCAAAGTTGGACAAGCCTTATCTAGAAATAAAAGAAGGGACCCCAGAGATCTCAGGCAGGGTTCAAGCATTCCTTCCCGCTGTCCGCTTGCTCAGCTCAGAGGCCAGCTGCTGATCCTTGGGGTTTAACTTCTCAGCCTCGTAGCTTAAGACACTCATTGGCATTAACACGGCTTAACCTCTGTTCTTCCTCCTCCTCCGGTAGCATCTTCCTGACCGCTGCATTGGGCTTCCCGGAAGCTTTAATCCCTGTCCAGCTGTTATGGGTAAACCTTGTGACCGACGGACTTCCTGCCACCGCCCTGGGCTTCAACCCTCCCGATCTGGATATCATGAGCAAGCCACCTCGTAACCCCAAAGAGCCCCTAATCTCGGGATGGCTCTTTTTCCGCTACTTGGCGATTGGATGTGAGTGTTTTGCTTGAGTGCCACGGAACTAGAGAGAGCAGAGCTGTTCCCTTTCCCTTTAATTCGGTATTTTTCAATCTTGGCCACTTGAACATGGGCGGACTTCAGCCTCCAAATTAGGACCTAAGCACGTAGAACAATAGCAGGGGGAGACCCAGGAAGCTGCTGTCCGTTGCTGGGCTGGCTGTGAACCTAGTGGCGCAAGACTTAACGTGCTTTTTCTTCTCTTCAAGGTTACGTCGGAGCTGCCACTGTGGGCGCTGCAGCTTGGTGGTTCATAGCTGCTGATGGGGGCCCGAGAATTACCTACTACCAGCTGGTATTTCCATCTTGATATTTTTGGAAACTTGTCTTCAAAACAAAGCTTAGCGGGGTTTTTTGCAGTCTGCCTACATGGCATGTCATAGGAAGACGGCCTCCAAAATCTTATTAAAAACTATTTGCAAGTATTGCAGAAAATCCTCTTATTCATCCAAGGAGTCCCTGCTTAACAATAATAATCTGATTAGAAACTCTTTTTTTAAAAAAACAAAAACAAAGAAAGCATTGGTCTTAGCTGTGTTGTGCCATTGAGAGTGCTTTGATGAATTTGGTATAGAGAAAAGAGCAAATTGGCCCAGGGGTGGTTTTTTTTGTTTGTTTGTTTGTTTTTGAGATTAATGTTGCCTTCTGCTGTTTCTCAGAGTCATTTCCTGCAGTGCAAAGACGACAATCCAGAGTTTGAAGGGGTCGACTGTGTGGTGTTTGAGTCTCCCTATCCTATGACAATGGCGCTCTCTGTCTTGGTCACAATAGAGATGTGCAACGCCCTCAACAGGTTAGGATGTCTGAAATGAGGAAGAGATCTCTTCCTCCTCCTCCTTTTTCTTTCCCTTTCCTTCTCCTTCCATCCTTCTCTCCCTTCTTCCATCCTTCTCCTCCTCCCCTCCCTTCCACCTCCTCTGATATTGAGGCCAGAATTACTTATTCACCAACAACACGGAGGTCAGAGAGGGTGGGACAGGGATTGAAGAAAGCAGCAAGCAGTTCCTTTGAAGAGTCGCAAGAACTCTATTTTCCATTTGAGCTGTCTTCCCCTTCCCTTTAATAAGCCCTCTAGAGGGATTGAGCTGGAATCCCTGTAACTCCATTCCCACGAGCTCCGCAGCCAATCTTTTCTTTTTTTTCCTCCCTCAGCCTCTCGGAGAACCAGTCCTTGCTAAGGATGCCTCCATGGGAGAACGTCTGGCTCCTGGGATCCATTTGCTTGTCCATGTCTCTTCACTTCCTCATCCTTTATGTAGAACCATTGCCAGTAAGTCTCTGTAACTCACACTTGGGGGGTGGCAGGATGGGAAGCATTGGAAGCCCGGCTTGCTAAAACGTGGAGAGAGTTAGCCTTCTTTCCCAGCTGCTCTATGCAGAAACTAAGGCATTACCTGGTCATGTGGCACTCTACAAGCCAGCTTTGGTCTACTGCTCCAAAGAGTTCAGGCCTGTGTCTCATTCAAGGGTGAAGGAAAAGCAGAAACCCATTCTGTCTTCATCTGATTCTGGCTAGGGCACGTTTCTCAACTTCAGCAACTTTAAGATGGATGGACTTCAATTCCCAGCATTCCCCTACCATCACAGGATGGGAGTTGAAGCCCATCCTTCTTACAGTTGCCAAGATTGAGAAACAAACGTTGACCTAATGAATTCTGGAAGTTGAAGGCCACACATCCTAAAGATCTGGCCCTTCCCACGAGCTCCCGCCTGACCCTTGCCTTCTCTTTCCCCAGCTGATTTTCCAGATCACCCCCCTGAACGTGACCCAGTGGCTGATGGTGCTCAAGCTCTCCCTGCCGGTGATCCTGCTAGACGAGACTCTTAAGTTTGTGGCGCGCACTTACCTAGAGCCGGGTAAAGATAGTGAGCCACCTGCCACCAAACCACGTCCTTTGTCTGCATGCACCGAGGGGATTTCCTGGCCGTTTGTGCTGCTGACCTTGCCGTTGGTGATTTGGCTTTATAGCACAGACACTAACTTTAGTGACATGTTTTTTTCTTGACCTGAAGTCCTGTAGTGGCAGCTTGGCAGTCAGAGAGATGTTTAACTTAAAAAAAAAAAAATCAATTTTTTTAATTGTTCCAAGCAATTTGTCTTATTCTGCTGAATTTTCACATGAACACGTTTGCCGGTGACTGAGGTTTCCATATTCTAGACTCTGGGTTTTTCCTCTTTTTTTTTCCTTTTTTTCCTTTTTTTCTTTTTCTTTCCCCTGACCCCTGTGGGTGGGGGAGGGGACTCTTCTTCTCCCCCTCCCCACTTCTTTTATACACAAACTAGGGTGTCCATCGACATGTACAGAGAAATTAAACACTATTTTATGCAAATATTTTTTGTAGAGGAGACGCATGTACAGTGTTCTGTTTCATAGTTAACTCAATCCTTGTAAAAACGACGACGACAACAGCGCTGGGGGGAGGCAGGGATAATATGTTGAGAAAACCTTGATTGGTAGCAGATTTTAGGGAATGAGTGTTGTGGGGATGTTATTCTCCCTTAAACCAGAAGCATGCAAATCCTTCATGTCTGTTGCACGGTTGAGAATTCTAATCCTAATTTGTCATTCAGTTGGATGTTTTCTGCACCAGACAGACCGGGCTGCTACCTCAATTCTTTTTCCCTTCCTTCCTTCCTTCCTTCCTTCCTTTTTTTTTGTTTCATTTCATTTTTTGGATTTGCCACATGGTTATCCTTTAGATTCCAGACGCATCTTGTTTACGCTCTGTCCTCCTTAAGAGGTACCCTGCTGATCTTGTCGGTGCAGAAAACACCATTTTGAGAGGCATTCCACTAAAATTAGGTGGTGGGGGTTTGATTATTTTTTTTCCCCGTTCGTTTGTTTCTATCCCTGATATACGTAGAGGTTTTTGTTTTGTTTTTTAAAAAAAATCAAAAACAAAAAGCAGAAACAAAACTATTTATTTAAATATGTCTGTATTTTTACTGTAACAACATTGTTTCATCAGCATTGCCCATTTGGGGAAGGGATGGGAGAGGAACAGAAGGAAGGGGGAAAGGCAATCTGGATGGACTTTAAGCAAACAGCTCAAAAGAGAGAGAGAGAGAGAGAGAGAGAGAGAGAATAAATTTTTTTTTAAATCAAGACCATTTTGTTTTGCATTTCATTTCTAACCTAAGAGACTCTTAAATTCCATTTTAATTCTTGCGTCAGGTCTTTTTTTTTTCCCCTCCCTCTCCTGTTACATTACTGTTTAATTGGGGCATTTACAACCAAACCTGGAAATAAACCAGGTTTATTTTTCTCTGGGGAATTTTCTTTTTGGTTAGGCCTCTAATTCTGCGTGCCACCTTGTCGAGGTACCATCTGCTGGCCGTATCTTGGGCTGCAGCAAATAAGTAACCTTTTGTGTGTGTGCGTGTTGTAAAATCTGTAAATATCACGTAACGCAATGAACATATTGCAGAGAACTCTTTTTATTTTTTTCCCCCGTGGCACTAATCACCATTGTTCTCTTGTGATCAATGTCTGTGCATGATGTCTTTTATTGCCTCTCCAAACTTGAGTCCTGTATTGATACGTAAGTTCATTAACAGTCTAACTGTGTGGTGTTTTTCTCCAATGCCTTCCAACATTTCATCGACTGAAGTGAGTATCTCTTCCATTTCGATGGTGGTGTGTGCTATGTATGTAACCGAAACCCAAGAGACCCTACTGTGCTGTATGCCCTTCCAGAGAACTCAATAAATAAATGCTCATGTCCTCCCCATGGCAGTTTCTCTAGCCTGCATTTTCTGCCCTTACGTTCCCTGCCTTTCTGTTGATTTAAATCTCAAGAGACTCAACCAGTTGCCTTTGTTCTAAAATCCCCCGGCCCCTTTCAGAACCAGCAGGTGTGACCACCTTCCCTTCTCGGCTTCTCAAAATATTTGGAGTCCCGAACACTTAGAGAGTCTGGACTTGCAGTAGCTGAGCCTGGAGGATTAACTGGGCTGTAAGGTCGAGGTACCCGTTGATCCCTCTGCTGTTTGCCCGATAGTACTCGGAGGGCATTGCTTCAAGTCTCCATGGCAGAGCCTGTTGGAGGAATCCCAGGGTGATGTTGGGGTTCCTGAACCCTCTGTTTCTTGAAACAAAGCCTAGCGGAGGCTGCTTCCTAGAACTCTGAGCACACCCATAGGCGTTGTGTAGTTAGCATCCACAAGCCCCTCACTTAAAGTCTGTGCTGTTTTTTCCATTTGCACATCCAAGAATGTGAGTTACAATGGCAGTCGTTCTTCATTCCCAGGTTAGGCTCAATTTTGCAAATACCACCCAACCCAGCGTCCTTACTACCTCTTCACATGCCTTCGGCCACAAGTGATTCTAAGACAGCAGAGTGATCTATTTTAAAAAAACAGAGCTGAGCTGCCCTGGTATCTGTTGTCTCCCTTTTCTTTTATTTACACAATACAGCTGTCACCTTAACTCAGCAGAACATGGCTTGTTGCTGTTTCTAAATAGCTTTGTGCGCAAATTTACAGCTGCTCAGTTCTGAACTTTCCTTTTTCTCCAGGGAGCATCTGAAAGGGGACCTTGTCTCTGTGATCATAAAATAACATAGGATACCCCCAATAAAAGACTTAGCTGCATGCAAGGAGAAAGCAGGGAGGATTTCAGGGGAGACAAAGCATGCAAAAATAATGCAAATTGTCTTGTGTCCTCACACCTGTCTTGTTGTACATCTTGCACTGCTTAACCATTGGTTCCCTAATCTCTGCTCATGGCTTAGAAGCAAATTTACCCATCAAGCCAAAAAAAAAAAAAAACCAAAAAAACCCCTAAGAGCTGGGTACTTTTCTGGCACACCTCTTAATCTACGACAAAAGGAAGATTGGAAATGTTTTATTCAGAGGGAATGAATCAAACGGGCACTGCAGAGTAAATCTGATCAAAAGGTTTCAGAAAAAAAGAAATAGATCCAATATCTGAAATTATGAGTCTCTGTTTGCTAAGAAATTTGTTCCAGGAGTGAAGAGGGGAGGCTAAGGCAAAACCTGGCAGATTCCTAACCTCCTGTAACTTAAAAGTTGATTTTCATTTGAACAAATGCCTCTGAAATTAATAGATTTTTATAAAAAAAGCAGGAGAAAGCTTAAACAAGCTAGTCATTTCTGCACAGCACGATGGCTGGGAAAGTCTTGACATGAAAAACTCAAATGGTTGAAGACAAGTTTGTGTTGAAAGGCTGTTGGTTAGGATCGGCAAATGAGTCCTAGGATTCTGGAAATATGAGTGACCTACATGCCAAGGTGGATGTAGTTTTTCTGAAAGAAAATAGTCATACAGTGCTAGGCAATAGTAGCAATGCTGTTTTAAAGTTGCCTGCACTTTCAGAGTCCCCAAGGAGAGGGGTTACAAGTCCCCTGCTTCTACTGCTGGGGTCTTAAAGAGAAGATACAATTTTGAAGAGTGTCTCAACTCTACAATTGGCTGTATTCCTGTCTGATCCACTAACCAGCTTGCAGCTTTCGGGTGGATGGAAACCTGCTAATTCTAAATGTCCTCTTAGCTTTTTAATGCTTAGTTCTTTTTCCACTAACCTGTATTCTCCTGCTGAATCGTGGGAAGTTATGATCAATTGTCTATCGCTACTAAAAAGAAAAAGGAATCTTTTGCTTTGATTATGCTTTCTTTATCTGTCTTTTATCACTAATGTTTTCTTTTCTCTCTCTCTCTCTTTCTCTTTTTCTCTCTTTTTCCTTTGCAGTGATACTGGAGTAAATCATTTAGTCCTAAACCAATTGTTGCAGAATTGTAAGGTTAATTTTCTTGCATGTGTCTTTAGCAACGCATCTGCTGAAAACATCTGCATGAGTCTTGTACATGGAAAAAAAACTTTTAAAAGCCTTCCCGAAAGCGAAGGAGAAAAAAAAATTGAACTGCAAACTTGTGTTCCGTGAAGGAAGTGTGTGGTGCTCTTACAACTAAAGTTTATATACAGATCTACCAAAATGTGCACGATAGTTTTTAACTGATAAAACAGACCTCTGCAAAAGATGTTCTGGGAATGCATGAAGACAAGGATCCCTAAACTGCTGAGCAAGAAATACGAGTGGTGACCGGCCAAGTTTTTTCCATATTTCATTGTGTAAAATGTTATTATCCTTTATAAAATGTACAGTATTAGACTGTCAATGCATGCTTTTCAGTTGTACGTAGCCGATGATTCTCTATTGTATCTTTAAAAAGTTAACAGTTTAAACAGCTCTGTACAATATGCAATTCTATTTATACAGATCATTGATGGATGGTACCTTTTCTGAAATGTTTTAAGAAAACTCTTAAATCTTCAAATTCCATAACTTTAGCTTCTTCTTTTTTTAAAAAAAGAAAAATATCCTGGAGTGTGCAGACTTCTTTTGCACCATAGTCATGTAACTTATTTAAATCTAAATTCATAGACCCACATTCAGTGCAATACACGAGTCGTGATGCATTTTATCTGAACATTTTATTGTGAATCTCGAGGGCTTTGCAGCGCCAACAAGCAGGCGACTCTGTTTTCCTTCCTTGATTTCTCTCGGATGGATTTCAAACACAAGTGGTGGCCCTTGGGAGATCACGACGACTGGATCCTACCTCGACAGAATTTCACAGGCGAAATGTGGCCGAGGGTTTGCGTGGCTCCCCACGTTGGGAGCCCTTCGGATCCATTTCTAAAGCATGTGTGACTTTTTTTTTTTAGAAGTTGTAAATAACGTCTGATGGAGCATCACACGACCATCCTGGTTTCGGGTAAAATAAAAACTTATTCTACAGTAACACCCTTTGCCTTTGATGTATTTTCAAGGTCTGGAGTTGATGCTCCTTCCTTTGCAACTTAGCCAGAGAGCATCAGAATCCAAAGAAACTTGGATTGTTCAGTTTCCAGTAATCGGAGCTCTTATGTGGTTTAATATCGTTCCTGTAAGTAGCTTTTTGTCTTCCAGCCTCAAATGATGGGCCTTTTCACCAGCCAGCCCATTACAGACATTGCAATTTAGTTTTTAAAAAGGTGGTGATGGCTGGAGCCCAAAGAAGTGAATCTTTTGAACTTGGGACTGGCCGCCCTTGAAGAGCATTTAGAAACCAAATTAGCAATGCAACAGCTGTCATTCTGCTAAGAAAATAAAAAATGGTAATGGCAAACAAGCCCTTCACTCGTTTGCAAAAGAAAATACTGGGAGGGATTTTTTTTTTAGTGGGTGTTTGCTTAAGCACTGAGTTGTAGGAATCATAACAAATCACCAGAATTCTTGATCAGGGGCTATAATGGAAGGTGTCCATGAGAGGGCAGACTTTCCTGCTTTTCCCAGCTGGTCTTGGGGTGAAGAGAATCAAAATCCTGCCACTAGACCTCCCACTCGCTATTGGCACAGCCTCCACAAAACAACACAACTCCATATTTTGAGCTGGAGCACAGGCTTGAACCAGAGGAGCCGGTCAAAGGGACATTTCCCCCGAACCCTGAATTAACCACAAAACAATGGCTAAAAGGAGAATAGTTTCTCCTTTCTGTATGTTTTTCCTTCTAAACAACGGAAGAAAGTACAGTGAGCAATTGCTTTGGGAGATTAATAATAATAACAACAATAGAGTTGGAAGGTCTTGTAGTCCAGCAGGAAAGCCTATAGTACCATTTCAGACAAATGGTTGTCCGGTCTTCTTAAAAACTTCCAGTGTTGGAGCATTCGCAATTTCTGGAGGCAGGTTGCGAAGGACACATTTCCATAAGAAAATACGGCTAGGAAAGAAGCTAATATTATGCTTGGGGAAAACCTAAAATCTATCTCTTATATAACACACAAGACTGAATTGGTTAATCATTTCTTTAGCAAGCAACCTTTTCCAACAAAGGTCACAATATACGCTTCTATTTCCAAAATCTTGATTCCTGTTTCAGTGTTCAGTAGGGTATTGCCCTTAATGTGCAAATAAAGCAGCAATATCTGCAGAGGCCCATCCCCACAAGGGCATGCTGGCAAAACTCTTGGAGCAAGCTGACCCTCGCCACTCACATTTAGAAACACCACGATCGTGATGATTGCAAAATTCTTGGCCAAAATAGCAGTTTTTGGTTCATTTGTATGATGCAGACAAGAGAGCTTCAAGGAACTTAAGGTCTGGGCCTCCATCTTCAATCTAGTCCTTGACTTGTAACAGTTCATTTAGGGACTCTTCAGAATTACAACATCACTGAAAAAAGGGACTTATGGTCATTTTTCACAGTCCCATGGTCGCAAGATCAAAATTCAGATAGTTGGCAACTGACTCATATTTATGATGGTCAGTGTCCTTTTGCCACCAGCTGACGAGCAAATTCAATGGGAAAAGCAGATTCACTTAACAACTGTGCTAAGAAAGGTTGTAAAATGGGGCAAAATTCACAACAAATATCTCACTTAGCAACATAAATCCTGGTCTTGATTGTGGCCGTAAGTCGAGGACCACCTGTATGCTTCCTGCATCTGTAGAGGATTCAAATTATGGATTTGACCCTCAAAATTTACAATTCGTGCTTTCAAAGATATTTATCTTTATTACTCTCTATCCTTCCACTTTATTCATTGGAGAAGCTTCAGGGGTTTTTTTGCCAGTTGTTAATAAGTCACTTTTTTCAGTGAAGTTGTAAGACTGAATGGTCACTAAATGAACTATTGTAAGTTGAGGACTACCTGTACAACTGCTAGGAGCAGAAAATTTTGGAGAATGTCGTCCTGAAGTGGGTTAGGAAAGACTGTAATAGACAAGCAACTGGAAAAAAAACAAGATTCAACCCAAATCATCTTCATCACTCATTTATTATAATTCCACTGTTTTCCCCTAGTTGCATTCAATCATATTATAACCCTAGTGTTCTGCATATAAAACATTAAAAAATACATTTCTTTAAAGCTGCTTCTGTTAAAAATAGTGAAATGGCTAAGTAAATTGCACACCCAGTTTGCAGATGTTGGATTTTAGGTAACAGGCTTGCAAACCACAGAAAGTCGCATCAGTGACCAGTGAAGATGCAACTGTTAAAAAAAAAAATGTAGATTCTTGGCAGCCTATCTACAGGAAAATCATCCTCCGTATAAACCTCACGAGGACTGGAAACTTGGTCTGGAGAAAAAGACGACTGCCAGATAAAAGGCTTATAATTTTTTTTCCCATAGTGGATGGGTCCTTGAGCATAACTGCACCCCTCCATGGTCTCAAGAGCCTTATGAGCTATTTTTCCATCCATAAACCTCATGAGGACCAGGAGCTTGATCCAGAGAAAAGCATGTCAAATAAAGGAGAAAGTTTTTCCCCTGAATTGAATGGGTTCTTGAGCATAGTCTCAAGAGGCATATGAGTTATTTTATCAAATTGGCCTACAAGATACCCTGAACTGACACAATCTCTACAACATAACACTCATCAATACTTACCTAAGAAGGCACGCTCTGGTTTTGACCTTTCTCTAACCTGAAATTCTCATAAAGTAATTTTTGGGGGTGCACATGGGATGAGACGAGAAGACAGATCTCATGTAACAACACTTAGTGGTTCTAGAGGTCAGCTCAGAACTCTGTTTAGTTCATTAAGACTGTTAGGAATAATCAAACTGAGTAAATCTCTTCAGTATCCCCCTCCAGTAGATTGAATTGTAACTTCTGCACCTCCCACTAGTGAGTATTAAAAAGTGCAGCACAGTGGAAGATGCCCAGAGCAATATTTTTGGGGTGCCCACATCTGGGGAAGAGGGAACGATGCCCCCAAAGCTTTCAGTGGCTGTGAAAACACTCCCCAAACTTTTAAAAAAGTGCCT